GCTCCCAATGAATTAATCTAAAATTTTAAATCTTGTAGTTTGCTTATATTAGTAAATGAACAATATCAGCTTATTATCAAATTATGTACCAGTCACGAATTTCTCATTGGAGCTCAACTCGTAAGATCTGGATTTACTCCTAGAATGTCACAAGTTCAACTCTGTTTAGGGCCATCAGATGGTTTGTCTCGTTGTTAACTTCAAACCCCATTGAATCGAGTTGCATACAACAAGTTAACCCAAACACCCATGCTTTCTAAAATATATATTAAATCTTACAGATAAAAAAAAAACATTTGGACATTTGTAGCAGTTTAAAAGGAAGATCTGTATTATCTTATAAACTATTTAGACAAGATCTTTTAAAACTCTTAAATTTTTTAGAATACAATGAACAAATTCACAAGATTCATTGGAGAATTGAGTTAAATTTTTTAGAGATGTGAAAACCACAAAATAATTGAGTACATGTATATTAATCGATACATATACAATATCAAAATATGTATTCCGTCAATGAGTATATTATCAATGTATATATACTATGTATGCAAGTGTGTGTGTATATATATATATATATACATATATATATATAGAGTTTGGTTCAAATCCTAACCCAATTTTTTGTCCAAACTCTTCTAACCGATCCTGATCATTCATTTTTTAATCTAACGGTTATTATTAAATAAGATTTAAGAAATAATAAATTAATTAATGTTTTAAATGATATGGGTATGAACCAATGTTCAAAGGGTAAAGTGGTCAAAAATTGCACATTTCACCGCCATATTGTACACCCGATTCTGTAACCTCCATCCATATACGAAACCGCCGATCAACAGGGTAAATCAAGTGCATAAAATCAGGTTCACAATATTCATCCACAATATGGATGATTTGGGCGATTTGCAAGCAGCCGGAATTAGAAGGAGAGGTAAGTTTATAAGAACTAGGGCTTCGATTTTTAGTTATCATAACTGAAATCTGCACTCATTTGAGTTCAATCTTACCTACAGTACGCAAACCCAGTGAACGTATAATGATGAAATACGCGTTTTCGAATTTCAAGAACACAGTCGATAATCCTGTCGATGTTGATGAGGAACCAATGAACAGAGAATCGTCTGGTCGACTTGTTAGGAAGCAAGTAGTGAAGCAGGTCACAAATCCATCAACATTAGTTGGTGAACCACGGAAAGGTAAATAAATATAATGTTGAATGTGAGAAGTTATTATTCAATGTCGGGTATATGAAAATCACTACATTTGCTATTGACAGATTGCTCACCTTATAATATATCACATYTTGTGGAAAAAATTGTTTTAAGTGTTTGGTGAAAAACTCATGTTAATGCA